GACTTCTGCCTGACCCCTTCCCAGCAGCCAGATTTAAACAGCAGCCAACACAGAAATCGAGCCCCAGGTCCCTGTGAATGTCTCTGCAGCCACCTGCTCATCTTTCAGTTCCTTTAGCTCCCACAGCCCACTTCACACACACACACACACACACATACAAACACACACACACACACAAACTCACACATACACACATATTCACATACATACACATTCACACACACGCACACACCCTCCCTCTGCCATTCCACATTTTCTCTCTCTCCCACTCTTGATCAAATTCCTAAGCCCTAAGCCCTGTCCATCATCACTTCCCAACTGCACCAACAGTTTCTCAGAGCTTCTCGTGTTTTTCTTCATTGCTCTTAAGAGAAGCAGAAGCCCTAGACAGTTGGGCATCCACTTACGTGCAGATTGTTTTCAGGAAATAATGTACCTGTGTATTCTCAAAAACAGTTCCCTTTCTGCAGCTTAATTTGTTATAAGAACACTGTAAAATATACACAATATAAAAAAAAAATACGTGCTCATTGACTGTGCTAGCAGGAATGATTCTTCTGCTCAACGATAGGCTATTAGTAGTTAAGTTTTGGGGGAGTTAAAGTTTATGTGTGAATTTTAACTGTGGGGGTCGGCATCCTGACCCTTTCATTGTTCAAGGATGAACTGTATCTACAGCATTTCTGCCTTGCCAGCGCAGTTAGTTTTTATGGGAGTGAGTGTCCTCCACTACTGGAATGGGCTTTGGTGTGAGATCAGGAACTGTCTTTGTTCACCACGCTGTCTCAAGCACAACAGAATACATGCTCAGTACAATCTCGATGAATGAATGAATGCATGAATGATGGATGGATGGATCCCAGGATTCTCCAAGTAGAGCTCTTACTCCCGGAGCTTATTGCTGACTCAGCGGAGATGAGCACATTGCACCTGGCAGTGTGTGAAGGCCTCCAGGGGAGGTGCACATCCCCATGAGAACAGGGAGCCTCTTCTTTGCCTTTCTTTCCCAAAGCTCCCTCCTCTCCCTCACAAGTGTTTATTCATTTCCTTTCTCCTCTCCCAGCTATTTACAAAAATGGGCATTTGGAGGAAATGCCCTTTTTGGGGAAATTGGTTAAGGTTTCTTCCATGGTACCCAGAACCTAACTAGCTGTATGTCCACAGGGAATCCTATGTAATAAAAGTCTAATATGCTAAGTGTCGGGTTGGTCATCCGTTCAACTAATCAAAGCATAATATGCTAATGATATGCTAAGGCCACTCAACCAATCACTATGATATACACTGGCCACCGCTTGACCAATAGGTTAGCTGCTGCTGGAGTCTGGTGGATTGGGACTGAGTGAGATGGATGGACATGCCCTGGAGCCCTCTCACAGTCCCTCCCCAGCTGGCCAACCTCCCTGGCCCCAATCATGTACTGGTGGGGTCCCTCAGCCTGACCTGTGCCCTCTTACTATCTGGGACCCTTGGGGGATGTCAGAAAGCCGGTTTCAGTCCAATCCTGCAGGACAGGCCAAGCTACCCCACTGGTGCATGATCAGGGCTGGGATGTAAACAAATTCATGCACCAGGCCTCTAGTAAGAATATAAATACATATCATTTTTCATCTCAAATATTTATACAAATGTTTCCAAATTAACATTGAAAAATACCTTGTGAGTGGCCTCAGTGACAATTGCAATTGTTAGGAGGTTCCTTTGCCGAGGCTTACCGATTGTGTCCATGTGTTACCCATACGGAGGTTAGCAGGGTGCAGGGGCACAGGCACACAATGAACGTTTGCTGCGTTTTCTTGTTCATCCCACACTTCTGGTCTAGAGAATTACCAACTCCCAGTCCGTGAGGATGGGAAGGAGGAGTATAGCCCTGTGGTGGTCAAGGATGCCTCTGCAGGAGGCGACTCCTGAGATGAAATGTGGAGGAGGAGGAGCTAGTCATGCAAAGATCTGAAGGACATAGTTCTAGGCAGTAAGAGTAGCAGGAACGAAGGCCCTGGGGTGGACACAAGCTTACCAGTGTGAGCAAAGTAAGAAAGCAGCGTGGCTGGATAACAGGAGCAGGGGCCAGGCAGGGCAATCAGGCGGGGAGTTTAGGTTCTGCTCTAAGCAATCGAAGGTTTTAAAACAAGAGGTCAACTGCTGTTATATATGTGCATAAAATATCATCCTGGCTGGTGTCTGGAGCATGGATTATCAGGGGAAGGATGCAGTTATGTATGTCAGGAGAGCAGAGTCCAAGTAACCATGGACAAGTCATTTGATCCTCCATCTGTAAAATGGAGCTAAGAAACCCTACCTCTGAGGCTCCTGAGGATTAGCGGCTATAATGACTTCTGTGCACCCAACACAATAGGTTCCCCATTCAATGGAATCCACTGTTATCTCCTCTTTCTAGGTAACACCTCAGGACTTCTAACACGTGTTTAATTCTTTGCTTTGTAACATAAACTTTGATGGTTTTGGTTATTAAAACTCTGAGACATTCATTGATTGCATGAGGTGTCCAGAGGCAGCCCCTGCCAATTGTAAGAAAACACCATACCAGAAAGAATCACGTTACAACATATTCAGGGTTTTCCTGTGCTGGGAGTTTACGTCCTCAAGGCATGGGCTGCTGCTCTTAAGTCAGCAGGCCAAAGGTGCAAAGTATACTGTGCAAATAGAAAATGAACTCATGTCAAAGATTTTGTTCAACTGATTAACGAGGGAACCAGACAAATGTGCAAACCAGGTCAAAGAGCATCGAGGACCTCGTATCTGTAGGCAGTTAATAAAGGAACTTTAGGATAGAGTTGCAGGGCTAAGTACAAATTTGGTAAAGTCTGACAAGCTAATCCTATCTAATAAAAGAGTAATATGCAAATTGACCATCACTCCATCACACAAGATGGCTGCCCCCATGTGGACACAACATGGCCAACAGGAGAGGGCAGTTGGGAGGGGCCAGGCCTGCAGGGGAGGGCAGTTAGGGGTGACCAGGCCGGCAGAGGAAGGAAGTTGGGGGTAACTGGGTCTGCAGGGAAGGGCAGTTGTGGGGGATCCAGGCCTGCAGGGGAGGGCAGTTAGGGGTGACCAGGCTGGCAGGGGAGCAGTTAGACATCAATCTGGCTGGCAGGGGATTGGTTAGGGCACATGTGTCAAACACAAGGCCCGCGGGCCAAATCCGTCCCGCCAGGCCTTGCAATGTGGCCCGCACCTCGCTGTCATCACTGCACTCCGCTGCGTTTCCATCACAATGACAGTTTATGACTGTTCAGTAAACCATTCGGCCCGCGATTTAGGCTGGATTTTAGATTTTGGCCCCTTCTCTGATTGAGTTCGACACCCCTAGGTTAGGGGGTGATCAGGCTGGCAGGCAGAAGTGGTTAGGGGAAATCAGGAAGGCAGGCAGGTGAGCAGTTGGGAACCAACAGTCCTGGTCTGTGAGAGGGATGTCCCAGATTGGAGAGGGTGCAGGCTGGGCTGAGGGATACCCGCCCCCCCATGCATGAATTTCATGCATTGGGCCTCCAGTAAACCATAATCTTCCAAGATATTTTTTCCTACCAAACACAAAGTATTTGCCTATTTCACTGGAAAAAAATGTAAAGTAGCATGTAACTTCACTTGTCTTGACCTCTAACCTATCCTCTTGCTACAATTTGAAAGCTACAATATGTTCCCTCTAAATGCTTTGCCTCTGCTGGAGTCTCCAAGCAGAGTCCCACACTCCCCTGAAACCTGTTCACAAGACGGCACATTTGAGGGACAGGAGCCTAGTGTGGGGACACGCCAGGCCTGAGACCCGTCTTCTGGACATCATGGCGGCCATTGTCACTGAAGGCCACCTAGAGGGAGGGCCAAGTGTCACAGAGAGCGTCCTCCTTCCCTCCTCTCCACAGAAATAAGAGCTGTCATCCGGTGCCATGTGTCACTTTCCCTCCAAAGACCTGACTTTGGGGCATCACATGACTCACCCTTATCCACCCATCACCTCACCAGGTAGCCAGCGAGCCCCTACTGTGCACTGGGACCTATACATCCTGATTCTCCTGTAATAGACATGCACTGATATCATATAAGGAATGATTATACTAGTATTAACCCCACAGAAACAAACTACCTTCATTTAATTACAACGCAAAGTTCTTAGGAGAAGGGAGCTTAGCCACCGCTGCTGTGGCAACGAGGTGATTTTTTTTTTTTTTTTTTTTTTTAGGAGTATGTAGCTTATGGAAAGAACAGGTCTCTTAGAATTAGGGAAACAGACTGGATTTGACCCTGACCAAGTCACCAGTGACAAGTCACTAACCTGCTGAGTCCTAGTTTCATCATTCATGAATTAATGAACTTTTTTTTTAAGCGTCTCCCTATGCACCCGGGTCCAAGTTTGACTCTGGTGACAAGAGCAGAAATAAGTGAGATATGGTCCCAGCAGACATGGGACTTCCAGTCCAATCAATGAGAAAAATAACAAGAACCGGACAAAGAACAATTTAATAATTATGACAGTAACAGGCAAGCTTTACTGAGCACTTCCTAAGCACTTGCACTTCAATGAGCTTTTTATACATCAACCCATTTAGTTCTCACAAGAACTCCATAGGGTATGCTAGTTATTGTTATTCCCATTCTGCAGACAAGGAAACTGAGGCCCAAAGAGAGTAGCCAATTTTCTCAAGGACACACAGCCAGGAAGTCACTCAGCTATGTAACTACAAGGGTCATAGTCACCACAAATTAAGTCAGAGCCATGAGGGCATATTAGGGAGACTGGACCTGGTCTCAGGGTGCAGGTTAGACTTCCCTGAGGATGTGACCTGTCACCTGAGACCCCAAGGATGAGTAGGAATTAATCAGGCAAAGAGCAAGGACCAGAGTCTCTGGGGACGAGGGAAGGAGATAAAATAGCAACTGAGCTAATAAAATAGCTCCAACGTGCCTGACTGAGCGCTATTGGTGCAGGGGTCAATGGCAGTGGAAATAACAATGAATTCTTTCTCTCTTCCCACCCCCAGGCACTCTTGGCCAGGGCACTTTATAACAATGCCCCGGACTGCTTTGATGAGCTGGCTTTCTGCAAAGGAGACATTCTGACCATTCTGGAACAGCATGTCCCGGAGAGCGAGGGCTGGTGGCGGTGTTTGCTCCACGGGAGGCAAGGCCTGGCTCCTGCCAACCGCCTCCAAATCCTCTCGGAGGCCCCGGAAGACGGGCCCTGCCCCCCTCTCCTGACACCGCTGGAAAAAGGTCTCACCAGCTCCAAGGAGGCTTACCAGGCGACCACCCCGCTGAGGCCCCCACCTCCAGGCCCCGTATACGAGTCGATGAAGAGCTGGGTGGTGGGGCCCCCGCCACAGACAGCCCAAGTCTACGAATTCCCTGACCCACCCGCCAGCACCAGTGCCAGAATCGTCTGTGAAAAGGTGCCAAGCTTCCCGAAACAGGTGAGCATATCTCCAGATGGAAGAGGTAGGGCTAGTGTGTGACACTCAGGGGCGGGACCACCCTTCAATCGTGGGTGCCCGTCAAAGCAAGTGGGCCAAGGGGACCCAGACCATTGGTGTGAAGAGGTGAACTTCGGTTTGGCCTTCCCACCCTGTGATGCCCCAGCTCTTCAGGCACCTTAACCTGGTGGGAATCTGAATATGTAGTCCAGCTGTGCGCAGAGGGCTGTGGGCATGTGTGGTGGCCTTTTTCATCGGGGGTGGGAACACTAGGATGGCCAGTGATAAATGGAGGGGTTGGATTTCCATGGGTTCGAAGGCAGGACATTACTCGTCAGTTTTAAAACATATATTCCCTTCAACCCAGAAACGTTACTTCCAGAATTGCTACAGAAATCCATAGGAAGGCAAAGATATATCCTGATGGGGAGGCCATGCCACTGTGGCATTATTTGTCATCAGGAAAAATTGAAGCTGCCTAAATGTCTGATAACAGGGGATGGATCATAAATGTGGGCATACTCCTGCAACAAGCTAGCATGCAGCTGTGAACAAAAGAGGAAGTAGTTGCCGAGACCGGTTTGGCTCAATGGATAGAGCGTCGGCTTGGGGACTGAAGGGTCCCGGGTTCGATTCCAGTCAAGGGCATGTACCTTGGTTGCGGGCATATCCCCAGTAGGGGATGTGCAAGAGGCAGCTGATCGATGACTCTCTCTCATCGATGTTTCTGACTCTATCTCTCTCCCTTCCTCTCTATACAAAATCAATAAAATATATTTTAAAAAAAAAAAGAGGAAGTAGTTTATCCTGGCCAGTGGCTCAATGGTTAGAGCAGCAGCCTGCCTACCGAAGGGTCACAGGTTCCATTCCCAGTCCAGGGTACGTGCCTGGGTTGCAGCATTGGTCCTGGGCCCTGGTTGGGGTGTAGGGAAGGCAGCCAATCAATGTCTCTCTTTCTCTTCCTCCTACTCTCTCTAAAAATCAATGGAAAAATACCTTTGGGTGAGGATTAACAACACAAAAAGATGAAGTAGTTCTCTAAAGTATTTATATAGGGGAATGAAGAACCATTTAAGTAAAAACCAAGCAAACGGAAACTAAAAATTCTGTGTGTGTGTGTGTGTGTGTGTGTATGTGCTCACACATTGAAAAAATGCACGCCACCAGTGGTTACCCTTAGGAAGTGGGATTGGCCGAGAAGAAAGTGAAAGAAAGCCTTAGCAGGGACCTTTATTTTTTCACTCCTATGTCCCCAGCCCAGGACGGTGGCCGGCATGGGGGGCACCCTGTACATATTTCACCAACTGAGAGGTTAGGAAGTCGATGTGTGTTACAGCATGGAGCCTTCATTACTCCTGAAATTCTTTTTAAACGGAAGGGTTTTTTTAAGACAAAAAGAAGCACCCAGTAAATGCAGAATGGAAAAAAAAAAAGTTAAAGAAGGGAAGGAATGAAAACAAAAAGGAGAAAGACAATAACGCACTGTTTCTCTGAGCCTGCACCTTCATGAGGTGCTGAGAACGCAGGACAGATTTGCAAAGTCTGCAGCCGCTGCGGCATTCCCTGCCTCCCAGCCTTCTCTTTCTGCTCCAGCGACAGTCCACCCAGCACAGCTTGGGCAGAGGTGGTGACAAGGCCTGTGTCTGGGAACGTCCACTCCCCATGGATGTGCTGGACTAAATCAGGTGAAGAGCAGGGACCAGGCCCAGCAAGGTCATGCTTGCGCCACCTGCCTGCCCACACCAGCTCCCAACGCCATCTGCACACAGGCAGGTGCTGGTTCCCTGAAAGGCTTTGAGTGCTTCAGACGTTCTAGCTCCCTGGGCTGCCACGCAGAGAAGCAGACCACTGTCCCACAGAACAGCCGCCCCTCAGGCACCAGCTGCAAACCCCCCAGGAGCTGGCTGGACCCTGCAGCAGCCTCTGTGGTAGACCCAGGTCCTCTCCTGGAATAGACTGTGCTGAAGTAAATTTTTCTTTTCAAAGATAAGTGGGGGGTGCCCACAGGTCACCAGGGGTCCCTAATGCCCTGCACACTGCCCCGTGAACGTTTGCTGAATGGTTGGAACAACACAAGGCTTCCCTCCGCGGCCTTGCACTTCCAGCCTGACGCCTGGAGGAACAGGAGGGTGGGTGTCTGTCTCCGCAGGAGAGGGCCAGGGCACGTGCCCTGAGCTGTGTCCTTGAGCGCGGAGTGTCCGTGGTGAGAGCCCGGGCCCGTGTGGGCGGCAGAAATCAGACAGAAACCACAGCTGCCGACGGGGAATTCAGAAACCAGGGGCTCCTCGCCAGGCCTCATGAGGCGGACCCCGTAAACCCCCGGGGGACTTTTCTACCTTTCATTCCCTCTGAGGTTCCCTCCGTAGCCGCCCGGCCACCACCGCCACCCTCTGGTTATTGCCTCTGTGCTGGGGGGTCTCGGGGAGCCCCTGGGAGCTTGGGATCCGGAGTCCCGGTTGGCCTGCCCGCCTGGGCCATCACAGACAGCGCTCCGCCCCTCCCCGCGGCTCTCTCTGCCTCCGTCACAGAAGCCACGGGGCCTATCATTTCTAAGGCACCTCCAGTCGCACTGTTTGGTGATTCTGAGTAATCTTGCTGCTGCTTCTACACAAGAAGGAAGGAACAGAAGACAGGGGACAGATAACCAGTGAGGCGTCCTCCCACACGACACGTCCCGCTTGTGCAATCGGCTGTTAGCCCTGCACCAGAGGCCGTCCAGGAGCACGCTCTCAGCAGGAGCTATCGTTGCTAGAACAAGACAGCTCGCAAGGCCAGGAGACCCATCTCACAGGCTCGCCTTACCCCTGGTCAACCGCCTCCTGATGAAGGCCGGCAAGATGGTGAAGACACGTCACTTTTCTCACGTCAGCTCTGAACTGCGTGTCAGCATCAGGCGTCTCGCTGGCTGGAAGGGACCTCCTGGACCCGGAGGTTAGAGGAGCCCTTCGTTTTAAAAATGAGGACACTGACTCCCAGGGAGGGAAAGGGCGGGTGGGCACTGCGATTGGAGCGCCTCGTTGGTCTGCGTGTCTGTCTGCGTCCCTACTGCCCGCACCCAGGACGAGACCCCGCACACCCTCGGCCTGCGTCTGCCTGACTCTGTGGCAACACTGCCTACTCTTCGCATTCGTTTTTTTAAATTGAGGTTTAACCTACAAATCCTAAAGGTACAGCTCAGTTACTAGGATTCAGATCAGGAAACAGAACAAAACTAAAAGCAAAACAAAAATAAATCTCAAGCTGTGCCAGAGAGCAGAGCCCCTCACACTTTCTCCTGGTCACTTCCCCCTGGGAAACCGCTTAGTTTTACTTTTTATTCCAACTTCCTTAGCACAGCACACGGGCCTGGCTTGTTAGAATCGCCAGAGGAAGAACATGTCCGATTTGGGTTTAAATTCAGAGAACAGGATTTCGTGTTTCAAGTGAAAGGGTCAGATCCCCTGAGGAAATCGCTCTCCAACCCACTAGTTCCTGGAGCCCCCTCCTAAGCCTTTCGAAACCATGCTTCTCAGATTTGCTCCTTAACTGATCGCCATCTCGAACCACGTGTTCCAAGAAACACTGGGCGTTGCTGAGCTGGCGCCCTCCCGCCCGAAGGCCCCTCTGCTCCCACAGGTGATGCCGCAGCTCCTGCGCCACAGTCAGAGGCATAAACACAGGGGCTGGGGTCCCAGGGTAGTAGCCGTCAGCAGAACCACCCTGGACAGCTGCGGGGAGGGGGGAGCGTAGTGTGGTGGAGTACTCGGGGTGACCTTTCCTTTCCCTGGTTCCTTTTCTCCCCAAGGCCGTCGTCCCGGTTCCCAGACCCGCCCAGGCCTCGTTGCTCGCTCTGTACGATGTGCCTGCCCAGAGCCGCAGCCCCTCGGCCTTGAAGGTGAGCCTTGACCCCGGCCCTGCTCCCCAGGGGTCTCTCAGTGTCACGGGGATGACCTCGGAGTGTCTGCCTGCTCCTGGCCCCAAAGGGCCTCCTCGCACTGCTCAGAATCCAGCTTTTGCCAGGGAGCCAGACCTGCTCAGAACTTTATGACCGAATGCTGAACATCTTTAAATCATCTGCTTCTCATTTGTAATAGACACTTAGGTCCATGCACACAGACTTATATGTGCATATACATATATGCATTTTAAGGATAATATTTTGAAAAATATTTGGGTTGGAGCAAAAGTAGATTTACAGTTGTGAGTACACAAAAGAGTTTATCCTTATATTATTATTTATTCTATTTTATTATTTTATTATTTTCCGCTAGTGGTCTGGCACATGAAATTTGTGCACGGGGGGGCAGGTCCCTCAGCCTGGCCTGCACCCTCTCCAATCTGGGACTCCTCTAAGGATGTCCTACTGCCAGTTTACAGGAATTGGGCCTAAACCAGCAGATGGATATCCCTCTCACAATCCAGGACTTCTGCCTCCTAACTGCTCACCTGCCTCCCTGCCTGATTGCCCCTAACCACTCTGCCTGCCAGCCTGCTTGCCCCCAAATGCCCCCCATACCAGTGTGCTCACCTCCACCTTCCCTCCCCTCTGACCTGCTTGCCCCCAACTGCCCCCCTGATGGCCTGCTCACACCAAACTGCCTCCCCTGCTGTCCTGATACCCCCCAACTGACCCCTACTGATGGCCTGCTTGCCCCCAGCTCCCTCCCCACACACTCCCCTCCCCCCCGCCGGCCTTATCCCACAACTGCCATCCCATCCTAGCCTGATTACCCACAACTTCCCTTTCCTCTTGGCCTCTAAGCACCTCTACCTTGGCCCCATCTCCATAGCTTTGTCCAGAAAAACATCTGGAAAGTCTCCCAGTCTAATTAGCATATTACCTTTATTTTAGTATAGGTAGAGGCCTGGTACATGGGTAGAGGCCAGCTGTTTTTTCCTGAAGGGTGTTCCGGATCAGGGTGGGGGTTCCCTTGGGGCATGGGGCAGCCAGGGCAAGGGGCCTGTGGTGGTTTGCAGATTGGCCATGACCCCATGGGGTAAGGGTCCCTGCTTGGGGGGCCTCGCCAGCCTGGGTGAGGGGCTGAGGAATGTTTTCAAGCTGGCCACACCCCATTCAGGGTGGGGGTTCCTGCTGGGGTGCCTGGCCAGCCTGGGTGAGGGGCTGAAGGCCATTTTTAGGCTGGCCACGTCCCCCAGCGACCCAGGCTCCCAGCCTCTCCTTCAGCCACAGCCAGGGTGGGTGGGTAACTTGGCTTCCTCTGTCACCGGGGGCAACCTAAACTTCCTACTCACTCCAGCTCCATGGCCACAGCCTTCTTTGTTGGGTTAATTTGCATACTCTCTCCTAATTGGCTGGTGGGTGTATCAGAGTGATGGTCAATTTGCATGTTTCTCTTTTATTAGTGTAAATATGAACAACTGTATCCCAACATTTTTTTAAAATATATTTTGTTTTTTTACAGAGAGGAAGGGAGGGGGATAGAGAGTTAGAAACATTGATGAGAGAGAAACATCCATCAGCTGCCTCCTGCACACCTCCCACTGGGGATGTGCCCTCAACCAAGGTACATGCCCTTGACTGGAATCGAACCAGGGACTCCTCAGTCCACAGGCTGATGCTCTATCCACTGAGCCAAACCTGTCAGGACTGTATGCCAACATTTTTTAGAAATATGTTTTTATTGGTTTCTGAAAGAGGAAGAGAGAGAGAGAGAGAGAGAGAAACATCAGTGATGAGGAAAAAAAAATCCACTGGCTGCCTCCTGCACACCCCACACTGGGGATTAAGCCCACAACCTTGGCATATGTCCTGACCAGGAATCTGTGACCTGGTTCATAGGTCGATGCTCAACCACTGAGCTATACTGGCCAGGATATAATCCTACTTTTGCCCCACTCTGCACATCAGAGTATTAAAGTCATCACTGGTTATATTAGCATTGATTACCTCTGGGTAATTACCTCTGGGGATAAAAATTTTAGATGCTTTTTAAAACTTACTTGTTTGTAACTGGTACGTCAAATTTGTAAGGCATGCCTCCTGTAATCAGAGGACAGTTCACTCACTCCTCAGCCCATCCGGGCTCCTGGGCTGCGGCACGTGGCCCGCGGCAGCACGTAAGCCCCAGCACGGAGCTCCATGGCCCACGCCCACGTCCTCAGCGGTTTGTGTTTGCATTTGGGAGAAGCACTGGCGTGGGAGAGCTGTGATGGCTTAGCCTTCAAGAAGGAAAAGCCCTGAAGGCTAAGTCGTGGTCCTGCTTTGTGGTCTCTCCCAGGAGCCGGGGAAGCAGCAGTTATACGACATCCCCGCCAGCCCCAGGAAGGCAGACCGCGGTCCCCCGGCCGGCCGGCCCAGCGTAAGTATGACCAGTGCTGAGACCCGGTGCCTCTGACCTGCTGAGCCTCCGGGACGGGTCAGCGTGGGCAAGATGGGCAAGGCCAGCTCCTCGTGGCAGACCTCATTTCTCGGAGCCCCTCGCCGCAGTGGTCCGCGAGCAGGGCGGCTGTGTGGCTGGGACAAGTCCTCTCGCCTCTGCAGCCTCCGTTTCCATTACAGACTCCTGGCGAGCATGGGGATCCCGGGGGGGGGGGGGGGGGGGGGGGGGGGGTGACCCAGTGCAGTGCTGAGCAGAGGAAGCGCTCAGCCAACCTTAGGGAAATGCCTCTTGCTATCTTGGGCCTCAGAGGCATGCTGTGTTTAAGTGGGTTTTTATTTGAATGTCAGGGAAACGCCTCAACCTGAGATCTGTGTCATCCCTGTTGACCCTGGATCCTGTCACATGTCTGCAATCGATATGTGCACGCCCAAGGTGATCAGGGAAGGCCTTCCAGGAGGGCTGGCGTCTGAGCAGTGTGATGAGGGATGCACAGATGGAAAAGAAAGGGGTGAGAGGCATTTAGAGCAGGGGCACAGTTTGGGCAAAAGTAAATATCTCAGTATAAAGTGACCATCCTGGGTCCAGGGAAGGGTAAACAGCTGGACTCACAGGGAGGTGGGAGCAGAAGGGGGAGTGTGATGGCAGCGGGAAGAGAGGCTCTAAGGTAAGGTGACCAGACATCCCACCTTTGGTCACCTTACTCTAAGGGAGTGGAACAAGGCTGTGAGGGGCCTGGAGAGACCAAGCGGGGGAGGCGGGGAGCCGCTGCAGAAGCTTGAGAAGGAGTGGCCATCAGCACAGCCAGTTAGCCAGGGCCTCTGTGGCCACAGGTGTAAAGTGAGCTATACTGGCCAGGATATAATCCTACTTTTGCCCCACTCTGCACATCAGAGTATTAAAGTCATCACTGGTTATATTAGCATTGATTACCTCTGGGTAATTACCTCTGGGGATAAAAATTTTAGATGCTTTTTAAAACTTACTTGTTTGTAACTGGTACGTCAAATTTGTACGCCTCTTCTTGCTGCTGCTAACCTGGTGACTTTGTGGTTCTCCACAGAGGCAGAGTGCTCCTGTGACAGCAACAGTTCCCTCGAGGACAGCCTGCTTCAAAACATTGCCAAACCCCCAGAAACCTGAGTGGATTTATGACATTCCAGCGTCTCCAGCAAAAGCTGGTGTGAGAAACATCTGTGCTGCCAGCGTTGTGGAAGAATCGGGGTCGCTCCCCAGATCTATGTCCGGCTTCCACAGTCCTCCGAGTAGCAGAGCGCAGCCCCTCGCTCCACTCCTGCATGGAGATGTGCCCATGCGGAACCCCAGCCTTCCAGAAGCCCCCGCCGGCCCCGGTCCAGTGCCGGGGGACACCTGCCCTCCCGATGGCGGAGTCAGCTACAAGGTCCCTTCCAGCTTCCTGGTTCCCCGCCTGGAGCAGCAGAACACCAAGCCCAACATCTACGACGTCCCTGTGGCCGTGCCCAGTGGCCCTCGGGCTGGAAAAGAGCTAGGGGACGCCGACAGGGCTTCAGAGGAGGCCTCGGACCCTCACTGCGCATGGCTCTCCAGACAGGCCACATGGCTTGCCCCTGAGACTGACAGACTGTCCGTGAACAGCTCTGACAGCAGGGCCAGCGTCATGTCCTCCTGCTCCTCCACGTCCACTGACTCCTCGTGTAGCTCCTCCTCCGAGGAGACAGCGAAGGAGCTGTCCTTGGACGTGGCCTTAGCCAAGGGGACGGTGACGGCCCTCCAGCAGAAGGTGGCCAGCTCGGTGGACAGCCTGATGCTCTTTGTGAGCAGGAATTGGAGGCTCAGAGACTCCCTGGAGGCCAACATCAAGGCGATCCGCAGGGCCGCCGACCTCATCGAGGAGTCCCTGAGGGAATTTCTAGACTTTGCCCGTGGAGTCTGCAGGGCCCCCTGTCACCTCCCCGGCAGTAGCCTCCAGGACAGAATGAGGGATCAGCTGCAGACAATCTCCGACTCCTACCACATCCTGCTGGAAGCCAAGGAGAGCCTGGAGGGCTGCCACTGGTCCCTGGATGTCCTTGTGACAGACAGAGCCCAGGGCAGCCTGGATGACCTGGAGAGGTTTGTCTCAGTGGCGCGGATGGTCCCGGAAGACATCAAGAGGTTTACCTCCATTGTCATCGCCAATGGGAGGCTCCTCTTCAAGCAGAACTGTGAGAAGGAAGACACCCCATCCTGGGCCCTCAGGAAAGAATTCAAGCTTGCAGAAGGCACCCAGCTTCCCCTGAGGGAAATGGAGTCCCACCAGCGGAGTGCGCCTTGTCCTCAGCAGAGGGAGGGCAGGCCCTGCCGGGCCAGTGTCTGTGAAAAGGTGAATCCGGGTTCTGACTGGTCTAGACTGGAGTGCTCTCCATGTGTACCTGGCGTGGGTCTCCATTAAGTCAGGTGCTGAGAGCCTTCCAGTAGCTGGTCAGGCTTTGGGAGCTGGATAGGCTTTGGGAGACAAGATTCCTGAAAGTAAAATTCCAGATGAAATCTTAGAAAGAAGTCAGCTATAAATATTCCTCTCTTTTCTACGTCCACCATGGCTAGAAAATGGTCTGATTCCTGAGTAGGGGCGACGGTGGATTGAGGAAATGAAAGAGACAGACACAAATATAGTAGGGAAAGCTGGGACTGATTGAGTCCTCTGATGGAGAGACAGCAAAAACCAGGAAGTTTTACGAAAGCCCAAGACAAAGGAGATTATGTGCATTCTTGTGGCTTCTTTGTAATGCTCTCTTCTGGGTGGGCCCAGATAATAGTATTTGTTCCTGGTGCTAGGCTGGATTTAGATAATGAAACCCACCCCCTGGCACCTGAGCTGAAGGTCAGGCTGACAACATACCTGCCTCTGGCAAGGTGTGTTTCCAGGACATGGCTCTGCTAACACCACTGGATTCAGCTGACAATAATTAGAGAAATGCTCATGTGCCTTCCCAGGTGCTCTCTACAGTCAGCTAAACATTTTAATGTTAAGGCAGATAGGATGTCTTCTAGAAATTTGGGGATTTGGAGTTTACCTCTGACATTAAGATGACAAAGGACTTAAAGAGCCATTCCATGAACAAATTTCTTAATTTCACAATCAAGGTTTTTTTGCATTTCTTGAAAGTTATGAATTTAGTCATGGTCAGTGTGTTTCTTAAAATGGAAGAAGGAAGTGTAAACCTCTTCCAGATTGTGTGTGGTCTCAACAGCCTCGAGACTCCAGTTGCTCTTAGAAAGACTCTGCTGCATGAGTTCAGATGCTATAGAAAGAGCACATCTGGTTCAGGAACTGCAAGTCCCTGGGGCTGTGTGGCCCAGGTAACTTGGTGCTTTGGGGCTCAGTCTTGGTATCTTGGAATTCTGCTAAAATGCCTTGTGGTATAAGAGCCACAACACACTCTAGACAAGCTAGAAATTGGGATATTTTGCATTTCCCAATTAAGTAAATACTTTTTAAAAGGGCCTGTGTGTCATTTGCTAGGCCATATCTGTAGACAGAATTCAGCGCTTGGGCGGCCAGAGTGTCCTTTGTTGAAAAAGGCTTCAGTTCACAAAACAAAAGCATGAAGAGGAGTGCTGGATTTCAAAGTGGGCTTAAAGAGCTAGCCAGCCTTACAAAAACCATTCAAAGGGGTGATTCAGAGGGGTTGTCTTTTTCAGAAGTTGCCTAACCTGGAAGAGAAAGTGAAGCCCATCCGGGAACAAAAGTTGGATGAAAACAAAGACTTAGAAACACAGGTAAGCCCATTGTGCTTATTTTAATTGATGACTTTTTCTTGGTGGCAAATGACAGCAGTTTTCCTTTCACCAGTTTAAAAAGTTTTAAAAGTTCCCTTTATATTAATATAAGTGGATCCATTTAAAGACAAAGATTAAGCAAGTTGGTGTTAAGAGAAAGCCAGGAAGAGCTTAACTTGTGAAGGTTTTCTTTGAATCACTGAAGCAGTGAGCCAGCCCAACCCCACTGGCTGGAGGCAGGGCGGGTGGCGGGGGGGGGGACACATGCGCACGATGTCCAACCATGCGGACAAGATCATTTGCCTTCTCAGAGGTAAACGAGGACAAGGACCCAGGCCTCCTGATCCACATTCCGGGAGCCTCCAGCACCTCTCTATGGGCCTGAAATCCTTGCTCTTTTCTTCGTGTGAAGTAAGCATTAGACCAGGCCTCTCAGATTGGAGAATATATCACAGGCTCCTGTGTCTCCTCCCCGCCACCCCCACTCCAACACACACAAAGTGTTTGACTCAGGAGGTCTGGGTGGGCCTGAGAACTCTCTTCTAACAAGTTCCTAGTGGAGCTGATGCAGCAGATCCAGGGGCCACATGGGAAATGATGGCTTTAGACAGACAGTGCTTCTCAGGGTGGGGGTGGGGGGTGGGGTGGAGCAAACTCCAGTGGACTCCAGACCAAATTAAAATTTAGGGAGCCTTTATTAGCCTGCCAGTGACTGCTCTGCCATTCTCCATGCAGAGAGTCCAGAGAGCAGCCCCAACCCTTTGTGCAGGACCACTTTTAAGCCCATTAACCACATCCTGTTTTTGCAGAACAAGTAACCCAAGACAAAACAGTATTTCCTAAGCAACATCAGGGTCATGCAATTGACGACCATGTTATTCACAGGGTAATCCTGTTCTTCAGAAAGCTGACAGTGTTCTATGAAAGAAGGCCTACGTGCTAGGAAAGGGCCATGAGACCCTATCATCTCAAGGCCTGGCCTGGTGTCAGCACTGACAATTCTATCTGGGGCATCGTCCATGGCCTCAGTAGTGCTAAAAAATTCCCACTCTCTCACAGGGGGCTCCGCTGGCCATTGTATGGTTGAACACTGCACCCCCAGCACTGTCTCTGGCTGCCTGCAGCACTCCCTGGTCAGTGTGATAGAAACCAGGAATATCCCTCAGTGCCAACGGCCCAGGATGAGAATCGTGGCCCATTTTTACTTATCTACAGTTAACACTTTCAGGCTAAGATGCTGATATTCCAACGTGTAGATTGTTGCTCCTCATCCCAGCCTCCGCTGCATCCTCCTTGTGCTCCCTGCCCCCAGAGATCCGTCTCAGCCAGCCCCCCCGCTCTTTCCTTCCCTTTGCCTGTCTGTCTTGGTTCATGTGTGCTGCTGTAACAAAGTCCTGTAGGTAGAGTGGCTGATAAACAACAGACATGTATTCCTCAGCATTCGGAAGTTAGGAGTTTGAGATCAGGGCACCAGCATGCTCAGGTTCTGGGACAGCTCCCTGCCAGGCTGCAGCCTGCCTTTGCCCTGTGCCCTCTGGAATCCTATAAGGGGCCCTGACCCCACCCCTGGGGCCCCACTGGTGGCTTCACCTAGTCCTAGTCACATCACAAAGGCATGCTCTCCTCATGCCTTCTTATTGGAGAGGGGAGCTTCAACATATGAATTTGGGGAGAACACAGTTAGGCCATACACAGTAGGAGTGCCTCTGGGCCGAGCATTTTGAGGTCACAGATCGATGAGGGCTTAAGGATGCAGCTTAACCAGAAGAATGGGTTTCAGACTTCGCGGACTCCAGATCTTTATTTTGCTCATTGAAGACTAGGCAGCCTCTTTCTTCAGGGAGCCTCTCTCCCCTCACTTACCACCTAGCAATGGGGTTTTCCGTTGCTCCATGAGTGGTCGCTGCTGTTAGATGCTGAAATCCCTCCACAGTGGGTAGGTTCTAGGGGGACCCTGGGTCCGCAGTCCAGAAAATAAAATTCATGAAAGTAAAATTATAGATAAACCTTATTAGCAAGCAAGAGAAATGGTTTTTTAAGTATTTATTTTTATTAATTTCAGAGAGGAAAGGAGAGGGAGAAAGAGAGAGAAACATCAATGACAGAATCATTTATTGGCTGCCTCCTACATGCCCCACACCGAGGATCAAGCCTCCAACCCCAGGCATGTGCCCTGACTGGGAATTGAACCATGACCTCCTGGTTCATAGCTTTTGCTCAACCACTGAGCCACCCAGCCGGGCATAAGAGATATTTTAACGCTGAGGCAGGTATGTCAGCATACTTAGATTTCTTCTGTTACATTTTGAGGGCCAGGGTCTACCTCTGATACCAGAGTTAGAAAGGAGTTTTTAAATCCTTTAAAATTTGTTCTATGAGGAAACATTTTAATCTCACCATCAAGTTTTCTTGCATTTTTCGAAAGTTGTAAATTTGGTCATTACCAATGTGTTTCTTCTGATGGTTTGTTGAGAGAATTGAATAAGATTTTATATATGTGTATAAAATATGTGAGATTATATATAATGCCATTCATAGGATTGTATATATCATAAAGTTTATATAACAGTGCTTTGAAAACATAAACCTTCATTTGTTAGGCAAATGTTGCACTACCACCTTTTCTCATCAAAAGTCTACCAAACCGGGCAAAAGCGGGGAACGGGGCCAGGCCCAACCTGTCGGTGGAACCCGCCTCTGACCCTGGCTCTCTTCCCTCCCCCAGGACCCCAGCGCCCCCGGACCCCTGCCTCCGGGCCAGCAGGACCCCGGGGAGAAGGCCCGCCTCTCGGAGCACTGCCGGCTCTATTTCGGGGCGCTCTTCAAGGCCGTGGGCGTCTTCCGGGACAGCCTCCTCCACGCCCAGCCCCCCGAGACCCTCGTGGCGCAGAGCAAGCTGGTCATCACGATCGGGCAGAAGCTGGTGGACACGCTGTGCAGGGAGACGCAGGACAGGGACGCGCGCAACGAGATCCTGCGCGGCAGCAGCCGGCTGTGCGGCCTGCTCAAGGCCCTGGCGCTGGCCACCAAGCGCGCCGTGCTGCCCCGCCCCGGCCCCGCCGCGCTGCAGGGGCTCCGCGCCGCCGCCCAGGAGCTGGAGCAGCACGCGCGGCAGTTCCGGGGGTCCTTGGACTGAGCCGCCCTCGGTCCCCTCTGTGATGGGGAAAGCTAACTCGCAGGGTGTGTGTGTGGGGGGGTGGGGGGGTGGGTGCACCGATGGGCAGAAGGGCCAGGTGCCCGAAGCCTAGGCAACCCCAGGACACTGACTCGTCCCATAGAGTCAGGGGAGAGAGGGGGGCATTGAGTAAGGACCTTGCTAAGTATCCATCACGTCGGGTCCGTGTACAAAGTGACACTAGAGAAACTGATTTTTATATTGGTCCATTGTGTGCCTGTTTTAAACCCATTCAGTGTTTATTTATTGGACACCCACTAGATGTGCAATTCTAGGCGCTGTGCGTGCAGCAGTGAAGGAAACGGAAGCCTCGCCCCAGGGAGCTTGCAATCCAGTGGGGAGGCAGAGAACACAGTGACTGAGAAGTACCTACACTGCGTGGCAGGTGCTAGGAGAAAAGAAAGGAGGGGTGGTGGGGAGAGACCTACTTCCAAATGAGTAAGGGTTGCATCTGTTAGCTAAGGTCATGGGTATTTCATTTTTGGTGGAATTGATTCTGTATCTTACACCAAGTATATATTTATATTTGCTATTTTGTCTTCACCGAGTTAAAGATGCATATGATACTTGCAGCATAGTCTGTTCTGTTGGGTTCCCTGTTAACTTATTTTGTACACTGTAGAGTCTGTGTTGATAAATTCAGCAAAGATCTGTACCTCAACATTTACATTATCATGTATAGTATTTGGTAGATATAGTCATGAAACATCCTCTGCACCAAGGCTTTCCTTGGAGGAGTCGTCGATTCGTGTCACCTGGATTCTGGTACCAAAGAAAAGCCTCAGTGCTCACTCTTGTTACCCAGATGCTTCTCCCTCAGCGTGCAGCGGGATGGAGCAGAGACCACGTTGTGCTGCACAAGGAAAAGCAAAGCCGCCCCTCTGTGGTCCAGGCAGGAAGTGTGTGGGGACAGACAGGATACCCATCTCCAGGCTCAGATCTAAACGTGCTCGGAGCTCCCTTGCATCAAACCACCTCCTCTTCTCCTAGCAACTGGGAGTGAAGGTCCATGTTTCTATATGCATCTCAGCCACAAAGCAGCATCTCTGGGCTGGTAGTCACCTGAAGTGGAACCAGGTTCAGTTCCTGCCTGCTGCTCTGCGTTCGGTGGCTGCTTTTAAATTGTTGGCAGCTGGAAGCTGGTTATTTTTGCTGTTAGTGTCGGGGTTCCTGAAGAAGGAGCCCATTGTGTGAGGTTTAGTACATCAGAATGGGAGATCCACCTTCTCTGAGCAGCTGTGACCGCATCAGTTAGAATTCCTGCTACAAGTGATCAAAGCCCATATCCAATCCCCCTTATGCAGTAAAGGAAATTTATTGACTGAAGTATCTTAAAACCACCCAGGTGCCAACTGGCTTCAAAACTGGCTGGTTTTAGCCCTGGCCATAATGGCTCAGTTGGTTGTTCTGTGCACCAAAAGGTTGCTGGTTCGATTCCTGCTCAGGGCACTTGCCCGGGTTGCAGGCTCGATCCCTGGTGTGCGTGCAGGAAGCAGCCAATCTCTCACATCGATGTTTCTCTTTCTCCCTCTCCCTTCCTTTTGCTCTAAAAAAATCAATAAAATAAAATATTTTTAAATCAATAAAAATGGATTTTTTAAACAAAGGCTATCTTGTTTTGGGTGCTGAACAGTATCCACAGGGCCCACTTGGTTAGTTCCATTTTCTCTGAGTTAACACTCATGATTGCAAAGTGGTGGCCCATGTTCTTGGTTTGTGGCATGTAATGCCCAAGTGGTCCTGGACATGGAATTCACCCCTACACACACACACCACACACACACACACACACACACACACCACACACCACACACCACACACAAACACACACACACCACACACCACACACAAACACACACACACACACACACACACACACTTGTGTCCTGACAGAAAGGCAAAGAGGTGTCTCTGCCAAGAACTGTGAAACATCTGAGATTCCCCACTTCTCCTTCAGATGATTATTAGCTCGCCTCTGTTTCATGGATGCAGACAGAAGATATGAGATTCTGGGATCAGAGACTATGCCGGGGGTGCCCACGACCACTCCCAGGTTCAAAGATTCGTGAGGAGGATTTGCAGGACTCAGCATATAGTTGGACTCCCGGCTGCGGTCAATCACAGTGAAAGGTGTGGGAAGGGAAAAGGTGGTGGGGTGAGTGCAGAGGAAACCAGGTTGAAGGTGCCAAGAGTCCTCTCCCAACAGACAGCTTGTCTCTCCCAAGGTAATGAGTTGTGACAACACAGGTGAAGTGCCACCAACCGGGAAGCTCATGAGAAACCGGCACCAGGGTTTGTATGGGGGCTGATCATGTCAGCAGCCTCTGTGTGGCATGTACCAAAATTCCAGACCCTCAGAAGGAGAGCAGGTGTTTGACACAAGTCACATCGTTTATGCAATGAGTTTAGACACACTGAGTCATTCTTGTCAACCCTGGGATGGTGGAAACCCTCCCCAGGTCCAAGTTCCTATCCAACAATCAAAGGCCGACCTTGCCCGGATGTCCTAATATCCTGCAATCCTTCTAAGGATGGAGGTCAGGCCTACCTGGCACAGGGACAAAGGACTTTTCTCACGGCATCACAAGAGCTTATATTTCATATTTACATCCCCTCTACACCCCAAAACCCCTTGGGTGCATGTGATCTGTGCACACAAAGAACCCCCAAGCATAGGAAACCCCAGTTCTTTACAACAGGATCTGCACAAACCTGGCCAAGCCTGGCCTCAGAGGAGGTGGATTATTTGGGGCAGAAAACAAACGTTCCCTTCTGCTCTGGAGGAGACATGATCTGTCTTCCAAGGGTCTTTGCTACAAATCCAGACCAAGTGCCATCAGTGCCTCTGCTCAGAAGACATGCAGAAACTCAGGAGATCCTGGAGGACTGTCCCAACAATACCAGATATCCAGCTATATTACAAAGCCACTGTTCTCAAAACTGCCTGGTACTGGCACAAGAGCAGACATATAGATTAATGGAACAGAACAGAGAACCCAGAAATCGAACCAAGCCATTATGCTCAATTAATATTTCACAAAGGAGGCAAGAGCATACTATTTATTCAAGACAGTCTCTTCAATAAATGGTGTTGGGAAAATTGGACAGATGCATGCACAAAAAAAAAAAATGAAACTAGACCACCAACTCACACCATACATAAAAATAAACTCAAAATAGATAAAGGACCAAAACTTAAGGCAGGAAACCATAAAAATCTTAGAAGAATCCATAGGCAGCAAAATATCAGACATATGTCAAGCAATATCTTTACCGATACAGCTCCTAGGACAAAGGGAAACTAAGAAGAAAATAAACAAATGGGACTACATCAAAATCAAAAGCTTCTGCACAACAAAGGAAACCATCAACAAAACAACAAGAGAGCCCACTGCATGGGAGAACATATTTACCAATGTTATCTCCAATAAGGGTTCAATCTCCAAAATTTACAAGGAACTCATGCAATTTAATAAAAGGAAGATAAACAATCCAATAAAAAAATGGGCAAAGGAACTAAATAGACACTTTTCAAAAGAGGACATACAGAAGGCCAAGAGACATATGAAAACATGTTCAAAGTCACTGATCATTGAGAGATGCAAATCAACAAGACAATGAGATATCATCTCACACTTGTCAGAATGGTTACCATCAACAGATCAACAAACTTATGCAGAGAAAAAGGAACCCTCATGCACTGCAGGTGGGAATGCAGACTGGTGCAGCCACTAAGGAGAACAGTATAGAGTTTCCTCAAAAAATTAAAAAATGGAATTCCCATTTGACCCATCAATCCCACTTCTAGGAATGTATCCCAGGAAACCAAAAACACCAATCAGAAAAGATATGTGAACCCCTATATTCATAGCAGCACAATTCACCATAGCTAAGATTTGGAAACAGCCTAAGTGCCATCAGCAGATGAGTGGATTAAAAACTGTGGTTCATCTACACAATGGAATACTACGCAGATGTAAAAAAGAAGGAACTGTTACCATTTGCAACAGCATGGATGGACCTGGAGAGCAGTATACTAAGGGAAATAAGCCAATCAGAGAAGGATAAGTATCACATGATTTTTCACTCATTTGTGGAATATAATGAACAATATAAACTGATGAACAAAAATAGAGCCAGTCATAGAAACATTGAACAGACCATCCAACCTAAGAGGGAAGGTGGTGTGGGGGGAGGGGAGGGTGGAAGTAAGAGATCAATCGAAGGACTTATATGTATGCATATGAGCATGACCAATGGATACAGTGGAGTGTTGAGGGCATGTGCTGGGCAGTGGGGCGGCTGGGGAGAGGTCAAATCAGGGGTAGGAGGGGGGCGGAGACATTGGTAATACTTGAAACAATAAAGAATTTAAATTGAAAAATAAATCATGAAAACTGCTGCTCTTAGCTAAATGTGTTTCCTTCCTTTTTTTGAAAGTCAGCAGTTATGGGATGAATTTGTGCTGATTAATTCAATAGGATAATTACTTCTGAAAAAAAATTAAAAGTACTCTGTTTCCCCAAAAATAAGACAGTGTCTTATATTAATTTTTTCTCCCAAAGTTGCGCTAGGTCTTATTTTCAAGGAATGTCTTATCTTTCCATGCGCTAGGTCTTATTTTCGGAGGATGTCTTATTTTCGGGGAAACACCGTAGAATGAGATCACATTTTTCAGCTGTTAGCATCGTTTTGCTGAATTTTTGTCTTTACTGCCCAATATTCTGTACCGTTTCCTCTCAAGGGGGAGGAAATGGTGGGTGCTGTGCTGGTGGCAGTGGTGGTAGCAGCCTGACCTCAATTAAGTTACATTTCATCAGGAGGATGGAAGTGGTGAGGGGCCTCGTTAAGAGATCTTCCTTGTGACAAGCACGGGGGGAGGCTGTTTCTGGTTTGTGGTAACTTTTTAAAAATGTGGGTCCTTCCCAGGTCTCCAAAAGCTGCCTACTTGCAAAGGCTGCCTGTTTGTGAAGACATTTGCTTGGGCTCTTTTTTTTATTTTATCCAGGGAA